CAGGCAAGTCTCCCCTGACAGATCCCTTCTGTCATGGGAATGTTCTCCCTGAGAGGGGCGATACTGGGAACCATCTCCGCCGAAAGAACTAATGGCGTTTTATAAACAAGCTGCACAACATCCTAACATCCTGACATGCACAGGATGTGCCTTCTTTCAAGACTAACATTGGGTTAGCTGCTAGATGACCATCTGCCTTGGTTTTGCTTCTGTATCTCTTTCTTGCTTGGTATCACACATTGTATAAGAGGGGATCTCTCCTTGGTTGGGGCCCATCCAGGTTTGAGCATTTCTAGTGGCTGGGATGGTGCACCATTAAAGTCTTCCTGAAAAAATCCCTTCTGGTCTCTCCAGGTGCTTGGAAATTCCACAACAGTACAAAGGAGAAAAAATTAGCATGAAAAGAAGAAAGAAGTGAGCACAGGTCACAGCTTACTGCCACCGGAAGGCACGAGTATGAGACTCTTGCTCTGTGAAGCAGCTCCAGGACTGTAACAGGACCCAGCTTCCCTTCCATTCCCTCCACCGCTCCCAAGGAGTGGCCAGGTGTGTGTGGCCAAGGTGATCTCTAAGATCGAGAAGGTGCCATATGCGGAGGGCCCAGGAGAGCACATATTGAGCACCTGCTGCATGCAGGGGTCCTAGGCCCCCACAGCCTTATTCTGCACCCTGGATGGCCAGTGTGCGTCCATACCCTTTTAAGCAAAGCGCTCACACTGGCCAAGGAATTCAGCCACTTGGGAGGTAAAACTCTTGATGACGAAGACACAGTCAGCCGTGGCCTCCATGTCTGCATTTCACATATGCAGAAGGACATCAGCTAATACCACAAAGCTAAGGTGAGGTCTGAACAGAAAGCTTCCCTCAAAACAGAACTTTCCACAGCCCACCCCAGCACCTAGGAAAGCACAGTATAAAAGCACTTAGGCTTTTTTTTATTTTAAAGCTTAACTCTTAAGACTTTGAGGAATTTAATCAAAACCTTCATAAAAAGACAGTCTCCTTTGACTCCGTTTTTCCACTTTTGCAGCACAAATGCTGCATGAAGCACAGAAAGAAAAAAGTAATTTTGCAAAGCCACTGAGCTGAAGCTGGTTTGCAACCGCTGGGACCATATTTCATAGGAAATCCAGGTCGCTAGAGCCTCCTCGGGAGCAGTACCAGAGCCAGTCGCATTTTAGCTAGAAGCTTGAGAGGACAAATCTGTCTTCCAATTCAGGGGCATTACTGGGGCTTTAAATAAGTGTTCAGCTTTCAGCGCCTTCATTCTGTGGGCTCCCTGGGGTGGGCTGCGTTAGAGGATTAGAAGCCACTAGACTGATGTGCAATTTTCTGCCCTCACTTGTGTTAATCTCTGAAGTGACTGAAGGTCAGCAATTATGAGTTTGTCTACTGGGCTCAAAACGCTTAGTAAAAGAAAGGTGAAATAATCAGGAATAAAAGCAAAGTAGCAACAGCTGTGCTCGTTTTATACTACTTTGCATTTGCTCATTTACTTAAATTTTATTTTTCAGTACTGGGGATCGAACCCAGGGCCTTGCACATGCTAGACAAGTGCTCTACCACCCAGCCACACCCCCAGGCCAATTAGATTAATTGTCCTAAGAGCTCTATGACATTGACACTGTTTGTCTTGTAGATGGATGGAGGGAGGCAGAACCTTTGTGACCTGGGCAGTTCCACACAGCTAGGAAACATGGAGCCAATATTCCAGCAGAAGAGGCCTCCCCCTGTCCCCCGGCCAGTATACTTCAGTTTCTCAGTTGCCCAGGTAACAGTTCCTGTTCCAGTTCCGGTTGCTCCTGTCTCTTAGAAACGGCTGGTCACTGTGATGCACATTGTATAAATTGACAATCCCCAATTGACAAGCCATTCTGCCTCTGCACTTCCTGCTTGCTTATCCCATTTAAGCCCTAGACCAGCAGAGATCAGGCCCTGATATTCTGGGAACGATCACTATCACTGCCCATCAATTTAAATAAATCTGCCTTCAAATCCTGGGTGTCTCTTTCGTGTTTCTGCTTGTCGTTGCAGTATGTTTGCCCAGGACTCTTCAGCTAGTTTTACTAACTGGCCACCCCACAAAGTACAGAGTCATAAACTGTCTTAGTCTGCAAGATACCAGGAAACTTCTAAACAGCATAAATTCCTTTCTCACAGCACTGGAAGTCGCAGAGTCCAAGGTCAAGGTGCTGGCAGGTTTGGTGTCTGGTGAGTGCTGTTTTCCCATTCACGCTGCAGCCTTCGTGATGTTCCTTACACATGGAAGGGGTTGGATCCCTCTGGGATCCCTTTTGTGAGGTAATTAGTCCCACTCATGCGGGTCCCCCTCTTGGCCAGAGCAACTCCCCAAGGCCCACCTCACATGCCATCACCTTGGGGTGAGGTCGTCTACTCATGAATCTGGTCGTGAGGCACAGGCATTAGATCACAGCACTGACCTAAGAACTAACCCCGTGACGTTTCCACAGTGGACTGAGTTGCCAGCCTGTGAGACAGCATCCACCCTGCCTGTTCAAGGTCAGAGAATCAGCTTGGCTCCTGTAGCTGACTAAATACCAGGCCAGATCACAGGATGGAGTTCACTGTTACCACTGACAGCCAGCTTGTCCAAAGGGATTGGAAATGACTTTTGTTGTTACGGCTTTTAAGACTCTTTGGAGGTGCTCACCTTTCTGTTACAAGGTTTCCTTTCACATGACACTAAGGGCTTTGGGACTCGAATTTGTCTGTGATCCCAGCTATCAAAACCATTACTTCTGTTTGTTTTGTTTTCCCCAAATTCCCTTTGCATTGATTCATCCTTTGTTCCATCTCTGCCTTCCAGAAGGTGGTCATATGTTACAGCAGGGGCAGGAAACTTCGTTGTAAAAGGCCACCTCATAATCATTCCAGGCTCCACAGGTCAGACAGCGTCTGTCAGAACTATTCAACTTCACATGATAGCTATAGGCAATCCAAAACAAATGGGAGTGTGGCTGTGCTCTAATGAAACTTTATTGATAAATCAGGCAATGGGCTGGATTTGACCCATAGGCTTTGTGCACTCGCCCCTGCACTAAAGGGCATGTTTTCTGGCCCATTCTTCATTTTCTCCCGAGGGCTGGGGCTGCAGTCACTTCCCTCCTTGGGTGTCGCTCAGTCCCTTGGCTGGTTTGGCTCCAAGAAGAGGAGCCATTTATCAGACTGGTAAATTCAAGAAGAATTACCTGGACCCACTAGGCTCAAATCTGTCCCTTTTCCTTTGTTCATGCCAGGCCTGAAGGGGTTGGGGCTTTCGATCTGCTTTCTCCTGGGTTTCCAGTTCCTGCGGCAGGAAGGGTAAATCTGCCCAGTTCTGAGATTCAGATCTGCACAGCCATGTGCTCAGAGCCCTTAGCACAATCCTGCAACCGGGCTTTGTCTTTAATAAACACGTATCTGAGCCCATCTGCTTAATATTTCATCCTAGGTCTTCTTTCATAGCATACAGGTAGTTTCTACCAGGTTCCCTCAATGCAGAATATTAGGAATTTTTTTCGCTGTGTCCAAAAGCTGACCACATTTTACATCGTCTCGGTTGAACAGCAGAGATCTCAGAACATCTTACTTTTTGGCTATTTATCTCTTGCTGTGCATTAATGCTATTTATATAAATCATACATTACTTAGCTATCCCATAGGTACTATGTGCATGAAATGTGAAACTTTTTTCAGAAGCAACATCATTTCCAGATAAGGCTTCCTTTAAATATATTGTCCACAGGAATAAAAACGAGGTCTATGCTAGCAAGGAGGTTGGGAGCCAGAGTTTTAAACCCGGCTCTGTCGCTCTGTCTCAAGATCCCAGCAGATGTGAGGCCTAGGAGCCGGGGCTACAGATCTGACGGCAAGTGTGCCGACTGTCCCTCCTGCCCGCCCATCCTGCCATGCTGCTCACGGTCAGTACAGGGCCCCTCCTGGGAGCAGGCTGGGCTGCCAGTGCCGCCTTCGTGTGCCAGGGCGGGCAGAACGGAGGGCGGGTGGCACTCTTAACACAGGTGTGTGGCTCAGTTCCAGGAGCTAGGGGTGCTGACGCAGGGTCAGCAGAGTGGGCAGCACTCGGGGCTGTTGAAAGGGTCCCACTCGGCCTTCCCCTGGCTGGTAGGCAGCTTCCCTCTCCTGCATCTCCACGTCTTCCCTCTGTACCTGTTGGTCTCTGCGTCCTAACTTCCCCTCTGCGGAGGACAGACAGCAGCCTGCTGGATCAGGCCTACCCCAGTGAGCCCACTGCACTTCGCTTACCTCTGTAGAGCTGTCAGTCAGGTACAGAGAGACACAGGGACGGGGACTCCGCCGCCTGAGTCCCAGTTTAACCCCTGCCAGTCACGGAAGCTGGAAGCCACTGCCTGGGTTTGGAGGGCTCAGCTCCAGGTCACGCCCCACTTGCGCGTGCCGGCCTGATCGGGGGAGGGTTTCTCTGGGCTCTGGGACGGTGGGTGGAGAGGAGGAAAAGAGGGTGCCCTTTGTGGGAATACCGTACGCACCCCGGGGAAATGGCCCCTTCCTCCCAGGAGCCTGTCCTGTGCACCTCTTCCGGGTTGCCCAGCCTCCGAGACCTCGGGGATAAGAAAGGCCCGGCCCTGAGTCATGGGCGCAGGCCACGGTGCCCAGCAGGCTCCCTTTGCGCAGTGACACCCTGCGTCCTGCGTCAGGAGAGCAGGACACGCGGGGGACTAGCAAGGACGGGACAGGCGCGGGATCTGCTGCTGCTTCTACGCACAGGCTGGAGGAGCTGTGAGGGCCCCGCGGCCTCTACACCGGGCCGCCCGGGACGTCTCACTCCAGGACCGCCCAGTCCCAGCCTCCTGCTCTTAGGTCTGCACGCTGCCGGGGGCTCCGTGCCCTCCCGTGACGCCACGACGCGTGGCCCCGACCAGGGCTGTGACCGGCCCGGGCCCCCCAAAGTCTGCCGGGTCCCCGGGTGCCCCTCCGCCCGCCGCGGTCCAGGCGGGCCTGGCTCCCGCCCCCGGGCCGCCCACCTGGCCCTGCCGCCCGAAGTAGCTGTGCTCCTTGGGGTCCCTGCGCCGCGGCGGGATGTAGCTGAAGGCC